AGAACCTTGTTCGTACTTACAAACAAATAGAACTATTCGTATGTTATGAAGAGCATGTCTTCGTAAGAAACTAAGAGTGCAGCAGCTTGGTTGAAACGCCGTAGAAGCTATCCCACGGGTCTCAAACTCGTGCCTCAGCGACTGACCCGTGCCCAACCGCACTGCTGATGGCGCTTGGTCTAGTCGTGTCGTCCCAGCGAAAGGATAGTGTATACACTATAGTGCGCAAGGCGGATCCCGTGATCCTTCTTCCCCGACCAAGCAGTTTCTCGTGCACTGAATGGTGAAAACTGAGAAGTGGGGGGAAAAGAGCCACGAAATCCGCCATCCACACTTCACTATTCTTTCGCTGAGAAGACTTTCACCGGCCAGTGTGTCTGTCTTTGTTACTCACAATGGCACCTCAATGAGTGCGACAAAGACAGACACACACCGGGCCAGCGAGCGAGCGGCGTGTGTCCGGCGACAGACGACGACGGCTGGGTCCAGCTGAGCTTCAAACAACCCGAGCGCGGCTCTCGGGGGCTCGGATCCACACGAACGCAAGGGGAGCGGCGCTCTCAGCGAGCCGCGCTTGGCTCGGTAGCCGCGAGTTTCAGACCCCTGAGCTATCCCATATATTGGTGGAGTGCGGCTCGCGCGTGTCCCCCTGCGTCCTTCCGTCCAAAGTAGAGCTGTAGTGCAGTTCAGACCGACAGCATCGTAAAAAATTCATTGTGGGGACGCCTTAACCCACTTGACTCAATTTGTTTAACAATTTGGGCACAAAGCTAGCCTTGAGCTAGCCACTATAAATTGGAAAAGAATGATGCTTTCGAAGAAAACCCATAGTTCTAAATGAGCTCCCACTGTCGATTGCAATTATGTGTATGAGCAAAATGTTTTTGTTTGTTTTTGTCTGTATGTCTTCAGTACTTTATAGAATACATGCCCTTGAAAAATGCCAGAAGCAGCCCTGGACGTTGATCTGGAAAACAATGGTCCAAGCCTGCATCATAGCAGGCTCGAAATCAGTGATGGCCAGCTGAGGTCGAAAATTGGGGCAAGCCAACCAAATTGCCTCAAGGACAGGAATGTATGCCTCTCTTCGTCTAGTTTGCATCAACACTTGACAGAATGGCACCACCTACACAGAAATGCAAGAAAAGGTATGAGTCAATGGTCAGAAATTTGATAACGGAGTGAAAGTTTACGGAACCAGTTGTTGACTGACCCGGTCCCTTTTGGCTTTGGTGAAAATGAGCTTAATTAATGTGTTGCTGTTGGTCCAAAACAAAGTTGGATTTAGAATCACATAAGTTCTCGGAAGAAGTAGACCAACACATTTTTAGCTTATTCCCACCAAAACCAAAAGCAGCCAGGGTTAGTCAAGAGCTCATTACGCAAACTTTCACTCACAACATGTAGAATTTATCGCATTGCAGACAACAGTGAATGTATTAGCAGAGACACTCACATGATTGTCAATCGACAGGCTTATTTGGAAGACCTGCCTGAATGCAGGCCGGCTGGGACGGCTTGCAAATGTCCCGTCTGAGAAGACAATCTGAATCCTATTCCTCATGTCTTCTCTGCAGATCATCGCAGCTACCCTCCTGGACATGAAAATTACACCCAGAAAACCGTTTAGTCCACAGAACTAAACTATATAGTTGATTGAAAGCAGACTAAATTTTAATTGACAGAACCAAAATTTTGTCAATTCCGTAAGACGATCAACTATGACTTAGTTCCATTTCATGTCGACTGTACATGTGTTGCGAAGACTAAATTTCGTTTTCTCAAACAAATTTCTTTACATCTATTACTATCTAGTGGAAACAAAAAGCTGCGAAATACAGTCGTTTCCACGGACTTCCCTATTCATTCTGTTGCAAAAACTGTCGTGTAACCCGTGTAACTTTGATGGGCACTGCGATTACCGGTCATACTGGTCAATCAGCAAGAAGGATCCTCTTAAAAGGCACAAAAGTTACCGCAACCGCCACCCCGCCGGCAGAAGTGCTCGGGTTCAGTCGTCGTTGTGGTTGTCGTGTTCTGTGTTCTGTGTTATGGAAGACTTGCTGCGTAGCTGGGGTTTGGAAGAGTTGGTGCCTCGCTTACTTGGTGAGTTGTCTGTTACTGTTTAAAACTGTCATTTGTGATAGTACCAGAAAATTCCAACTTCAACATTTCGTAAGAGGTTATGGTTGAGGGGTTCTGCTTCGAGTTCTTTCGTCACCTAGAATTTTACTTGGTTGATGTTATTTAAAGAAAAACGTATTTGTTACGGATTCAAAG